AAAAAAATAAAAGTGAAGATGAAGAATCTTTAAGTCGTGCATTCGATAGAGCTTCATTGATTATATATAAAACAAGTGTTTTCCCAACTGTCAGTTTTGTGTTTCGGAAAGAAAACGAGTTTTATTTAAAAATGCCTATTTTTCAAGGTCTCCTGACACAATCAGATTAATAATATTAGAAATATTTTGACGAAAAAAACAATCACTAAATGAGTATTTATATATTGTTATCATATATCAATCGAAAGCTTTTGAAAAGAAGAATCTAACGAGCATATGCAGAACTTTATCCACCAATATACATGCATATACTAAGGGTGTGAAGGTGCAGACGACACCCTCACTTTCTCATCCTCACCCTATCCTCAGACTTCTCCATCACTCAAGGTAACACCAAAACTTCGCGAGTATTTGAAAACGTTTCTCAGTCCGAGAAGGGTCCAATGCAATCGAAAAAGGTGAACTTAAGCGGACATCCCCCTTTCCTGACCGAAAATTTTCAGTCTTTTCCTTTTTCATTCTTCATATTTAGTATATAGATCTAAATGCCCTCTATCTAATGAGCACATTTTAAGAAGGTTAAATCATCTTTTTATGTATGAGAAACTCGAAAAAAATCTCAATTTTATGCTCAAAAAGCCAAAAAATACAACTTTCTTTACGATTTTCTCAAAATCAGTTTTTTAAACGAAAAATTGAAGTTTTCCCCCTTTTTCTCCTAGACGGTTCGACCAATTGGGCTCAAACTTTTTTATAAGTACTTCGATCAAATTGGGGGTGTCTTTTTTTTCTCTTGAAAATGTTGTACCTATCAGGTTTGACAGATTTTACAAAATTAGCACCATCCGAAAAAAAGCTTTTTTTCATGGTTTTTTCAGTAGTGTCAAACTTGAAATTTGAATTCAAGTACTCAACTATCAGTTCAAACATTCAACTATTCAATTATTGAAGTATCCAACTATTCAACTATTCAAAGATTCACGTATTCAAGTATTCAACTATTCAACTATTCAACTATTCAACTATTCAAGTACTCAACTATTCAAAGATTCAAGTATTCAAGTATTCAACTATTCAACTATTCAAGTATTCAACTATTCAACTATTCAACTATTCAAGTTTTCAATTAGTCGGAGCTTGTGACGCTACAGATTTTTCTAGAATGCTGCCAGTATTACATAGGATGTTAGAAGCTTCTTCTATAATATAATGCTACAAGTAGCTCCTAGGATGCTACAAGTATTCCCTGTGATGCTACAAACATCCGCTAGGATGTTGCAAGTATCCAATAGGATGCTACAAACATCCACTAGGATGATACAAGCATCTCCTAGGATGCTATAGGTTTTGGTTAAGATGCTTCAGACATTTTCTGGGGCGCTACAAGAGCTATGTGAGAGGCTTGAGCTACTGTGCAGCAATGAGTAGGAACAATGATGTGCACAAAGACGTGTATAGGTCGCGACGCTGAAATAGAAGGTGAGTTAGGTGGAGAAAAGCAGTTCTCCACTAAATATCCGCAGAACATTTGATAAGTTAAAATTTGAATAGTTGAATACTTGAAACTTGAATAGTTGATTAGTTGAAACTTTAACTATTCAATAATTGAATACTTGAATTCAAGTTTCAAGTATTACATGTATGTTGTGAGTATAAGAAAAGCCATTAAAACAGATAGAATAGAATTTTATTATACAGATTTTGTAGAGAATTTCGCAGCGCATCTTTTCAAAAAGAATTCAAGATGTTATCATTCACCTAAGCCGTGATGTTTGCGAAATAAAAAAAGTTACAACATTATGGACATCCCATAGTAAAAAGAAAAATACCACTTTCTTTCTAATTCATTTTTTATACTTTTAACTGCATTTAATGTTCAGCGTAAATATATCAAAAGATGCAGTACGTTTCGAGCTTTCTCGCTATATATAGTAGATTAAAAAAATAAAAGAAGTATAGTAACAAAAAAAAAGCAGTAAGGAGAATTTCAATTGACTCCACTGTAACTGATCATATGGTAAAATTCATAATTGTCTTCTTCGTCAGCTAGCAATAAATCTCAATTTCATGCAATAAGAGTCTTTGAGCCAATTTCTCTCTCAATCTCAAACTCTTTTTCTCTTGTGTCAAAATTGATGTCAAAAAAAAAGAATATAGTCATAGATAGAGAATCTCTTATCTTTTAGTAGATAGAAAAGTTGTGCTACTGCCTTATTGGTTTAAGCATGTTCAACTGTCAGATTACTGAATGAATAAAAGGTGACACATAAGATGCCATAGATTCATTTAATTCGACATCTGTGTTGTATTACTCATTAATTTACCTTGTTTCTTGCTGCTGTTTGTTATTCTGCCTTAAACATTTTCCCATAAAAGTTAGAAAGTAAATTGTCGTGTTGTCAAAATGGAGTTGATACCAATCTAATTAGATTAATTGTATAGAATTTGTGAAATAGATAACCCTAAAGAACTATCTTTGATTAAGCACATGAAATACATGACCATCTGGAGCTAGAACGTCATGCGTTATGGACAAATCTTGAAAGCTGTGCAGTTCATGCGAATAAGAAAGAAAACTCTATATAGGAAAAGGTAGTTTCGAGTTTTAATCGCTCTCCAGACCGAACATTTTTCACCTAAGAATAAGTTCGACTTGTGAAAATATATCTACTGCTTTTAATCATGGTTTTAATGAAAATCATTCTTCCATACGTGTGACTTTCTTAGGATTCTTGATCATGAAAATGATGTGCTATAGACAAGCCTTGAAGTCTGCACAGATCAAGCATACGAAAAAAACTCGCCTAGTCAATGATTTTCCTCAATAGTTTAATGCAACTTTTCTAACCATGTGATAAAGCAGTGAAGTCTTGACACTGATCTCTATAAGATTTTTAAAACGAGGGTGTGGATCATAGAGGTTAAATATGAATTTCGGGAATGTCATTTGTGATTATAAAAATTCCGAGAACACGGGAATCCAAAATCCGCCATTTCCCCCTTGGATTCAAGACCGTTGCTTACAAAAGCAATCATATATCTAGCAATAGTTTGTTTATTGTAGGCAATCCTATGCATTTTTATATAGGCAACTTAGCAAGAAGAAGAAACAAGAGAACATATAATGTTGATATCATCGTTGTTTGGACAAAATCAAATCGAAGGAAAGAAAAGAGAATAGAGAAATAGAAAGACAAAGAATAGAATGAGGAGAGAATGATCTACATAGGATCAAGATAAGAGTAATGTCGAGGTTAGAAGAACAACACAAGAGAAATTACGTATATAAGAATACTTCTTAGGATGACACTATCTAAAAGTTGCGTTAATTCTTAAAGTTCATTAGATAATCATTTTAATTCGGTGACTTAGAGTTCTACAAAAACAAATTTTATATTACATACTAAATCTTCACGAACCATTAGAATACTAGAGAATGTTCAGCAATTCATATATGTGAATATTTAAAAAACATAATAAACATTCATAGAAAATGTTATATACTTATTTTATTTTTTGATATTGATACGAGAGAAAATTATTTTGAAATTTTTAAGTGTTTATTTCTGCTCGATCAAATTTGAGACGCTCTATCCAATCATAAATGTATCAATTTGAAGGTTAATATGTTGAATTTTCATACTAATCTCTGTAATTCGAAATGTCTCTTAATCTAAGGTATCAGATAAAACAATTACATGACGTATAATCTCAAGATTAATTGTAGTATTTTAGAATCAATAAAAAAACAAAAGAAATGTCATTTGCATTGACTAAATTTCATTTACGCTGTTTGCTTCTGTTTCATGACGCATGATTAGACATTTTTCCTTGCTTCAACATGGTTTTTGTCTTCTGAATGACAGATTTTTCACCTAGTCACTGTGTAAACGAAACTAAAATACTTTTTTTTTCATAGTGTACTTAGAATAAAATGTTGACGAAGAAATGACTAATAAAATACTCAATATGATTAATAAGAAATAAGCAAGGAAGTAACACATAGACAATGTATTTAAATAGTTCGATTGAATTGATTGAAAATAGAAGATTTTATTTCGAATAAAATCAATACTATTTTTCTGATCCAATCAGATAAATAGTATAAGACCAAATAACATTTTTATTGTTCAATAACTTGTTGTTTTTGGTCAATCATTAAGAATATTTTTTTTAAAAATTTAGATCTATCATAATAGAATCAAATTTTCACTGATTAAAACTTCTTGTTCTATATAATAGAAACCATGTTTAGTCGATTTATTTGGTTTACTCTGCTTTTCTATAGTCAAACTACGGTTGAAATGGCTCTTGTTAAGTACGATTTTATCATTCGTACTATTCCTTCAAATCCTGATGGTTATCCACGTCCTGTTGTCATTATGCATCATGCTAATTCTTCATGGGATATTGATCGACCTTTTCCAGGTCCACTCATTCGAGCAAAACTTGGTGATCGAATACAAATTCGAATTACAAATATGTTACGTGATCAATCAACTTCTCTCCATTTTCATGGATTTCATATGTTCAAAAACCCATGGGCAGATGGTGTTGAACATATTACACAATGTCCTGTCAATCCTTATACATCATTCATACAGGAATTCAATGTAACACAATCGGGTACATTTTGGTATCATTCACATAGTGCTCAACAGTATGCCGATGGATTGGTAGGACCAATTATTATTGATAATGATCCAATTGAAAAACGATATTCTTATGGATCAAGTGATCATGTTATTATGTTTCAAGAGTGGTATCATGAAACTTGGTCAGATTTAATGACTGCCTATCAAGGTCCTTTCGGTGCTTATCAAGGCAATATTCCAATTTATCCATGGCCACCTACAACTTTTCTTATCAACGGACATGGTCGATTTGATTGTCGTACAACAAATTGTACAGATCCTGGTACCTGGATTGATGTATGTGGTCGACGACAACTCGCTCAATGTATTCCACTTCGTGAACCTTTTCTCGGTTTATGCAAGCGTGAAGCACATCCTATCGATGAATTTCAATGTTCATTCGGTAAACAGATGCGTTTAAGATTGATCAATGCAGCCAGTGGTATTCCATTTCGTTTTTGGATTGAACAACATAATCTAACTATTGTTGCACGTGATAGTATTGAAGTTGTACCAATTACCGTGTCTCACATTAATATTCCTATAGGACAACGAATCGATGTGATTATACAATGTAATCAAAATTCAAATCGAAACTATACAATGTTTGCTGCGAGTCGAAATAGTTTTCAACCGTCTCATATCATTACTGGACCGACACCAACAATGTGGACAACGGCAATTTTAACATATGATAATTCTAGCACGATTATGAATGGTACTAGTCAAATTTTTAATGAATCAAAATCAAATCCAGATAGCTCATTTTTTGAATATGAATATTTGAAGCCACTTGCTTCTCGTCGTGCTTTACCTGCTGTTCGACGAGTAACATTAACATCTGTTGTTCTTTGGAATAATCGAACAGGTATTGATGCTCTTGAAGAATGGGCCATCAATGGTATTACTTTCAAACCACCAAAGGAACCATTATTGTTAGCTAATTATTTTGATGGAACATTAGACAATGCCATTGCCGAACAACGATCAGGTCGTGTTGGTAATATTCATGCTACACATGTAGTCAATTTCGAATACGGATATACTTATGAAATCTTGATGATCAATGATGATCCACAACAACATCCATGGCATATTCATGGGTATACTGTTGACTTTATTGCTGCAGGAAGATTGCCTACTATAGAGCCAGTTACATGCAATTCGACAGCAAGACGAATAGAAAATTTCGATTATAATACTATTCTTCCACCACTCAATTCAACACCTCCTGTTCTTACTGTAGGTGATTCATTCAATATGCCTCGTGACAGTTATGTAGCATTTCGTTTTACGGCAAATAATCCAGGTCCATGGTATCTTCATTGTCATATGGAGTGGCATATTTCGCCTGGTTTATCAGTAGTTCTTTCAGTTGGAAAAAATGGACAATACAGAGATTTGATAGATCCTCCATACGACAACTTTAATATGTGCGGAACAAGTCAACAATGGGCTATGAGACAGATTTTGCCAAAAAACTTCAACAATCAAACTTACCTTTGATCTATCTTCGATTATGTTTTTCTTTTTTGTTTCTATTTACTTAGTCATAAAGTGCTGATCTTGTTATTAATAAAACACAATTGAAAATGAATGCTAAAATATATAGCGAGAAAACTGATACTACAGCTCTGTCTTCTTCACTACTGGCCGACCTTACAAACACATAATAGATAGATAGAATAGACGAAGATTCGGAGCGTCACAATATTCGATATGCCTAGGGCTTTCATTTTGTCAATACAGGCGATCAATTGTGTTGATTTTACGATAGGAAAGGATGAATTGACAATCGCTGCTGTAAGATTAGTTTAATCAAATTTATTTCAGATGTTGATGTATATCTAGTCAGAAAACGTTTTGACTGTAACTTCTTTTTATCATAGCAGTTTCAGGCGCTAATTTGTCGAGATTTGAGACCAGAGTACTTGATAGATCCAAATAGTTTTCGTTGAAATTCTAGAGAAATATCTGGGAACCTTCCCTCGTTAGGATGTGATTGTCACTGGAAGCGACATAAACATATCACTTATGAGTGTAATCTACATTACACTTACATTAGATCAAATAAAGTAATGTTTGTAAGTGATATTGACCAATTGATTAACAATCTAAGAGAAGAAGAAAGAAAAATTCAAGATATTTATAAAAAGATTATTTGATTTCTTCATGTAAACACAGTACTTCCGATAACGATGATTTTCTCGAATATCTTCGATGTTTTCTTCACGAAGAGTAGATGAAACAGAGTGCCGATGCTCACAATGTTGAAGTTATCAATAATCTTGAGAAAATGATGACTGGTTTTATAAACGATATGGAACTATTCAAAAAACAAATACAAAATCAAAGAAATTTAGAAAGTACATCTCGAAAAATTGCGATCTGAAGATATATTCACTTTAGTTCATGCTCTATATCGACTGTCTGTCAATGAACAATAAATTTGTGAACAAGTGGATGGAACTGGATTCAGTCAAAGGAAAATACAATGCCAAACATGAAGTTCATGTTGACTTACCCACTAAAGTTGCTTTATTAAAAGTGATGCTTCAATTGAGAGACATCCTATCTCAATGACAAAAACAAACTATTAATAGTTTATTGAATATTGCATAATTGTGAATCAATGAATACTAAACGATAAATGGAGACATATTTCCTCATCAACCATTCTATCAACATAAAACACAGTAGCGCAAGTATGAAACTATGCATTTCGGAAATATTTAGAGAATTTCACTATTCTAGATGTTATGAGTTATGATAGACTTAGGACGTATGATAGGTATTATAGATGTATGTGTTCATGTCGAACGCTGTATTTTGAAAGAAAAAGTAATTATTATTGAAAAATGATAAAGCGTTGACATGAACATCGTCTTATTTCGATATTAAAATAAATATATTACTTCATAGATAGTTTACTTCGAAAAAAATTTAGTTACTATGTAGGATGTAACTCATCTTCTTGATGTGGAGTGTAGGTATGATATGGATGTGTGTGAAAAGAACACTCACACCCACACCCACACCTTACACTGACTCACATGTACATCCATATCCATACCCCACGCTACACCGTCCATATTCTGTTTAACCATGAGAAATCCTGAAAGTAAGAATTCCTAGAATTTCAAACGGGATCCTGGACAAAACTTGACAATATCCTTGAAATCCAGAATCCTGACAAATTCTCTTAGACTTTCTCAAGAAATGTACATGACTGAGACTAGGGTAGACGTGTATCAAGGCAAATACAGATAATCATAAGAATGAATGCCATATTAACTGGGTGTGGGTATGGGTGTGGGTTAAGAGATAATTACAACCACACCCACACCCACAACCCATAACCCACACCCCACACCCACACCCACAACCCATAACCCACACCCACACCCACACCCACACCCCACACCCACACCCACACCCACAACCCATAACCCACACCCCACACCCACAACCCATAACCCACACCCCACACCCACACCCACAACCCATACCCCACACCCACAACCCACACCCCACACCCTAAACATGTGAGAGAGAGAGAGAAAATGAAAAAAGAAATAGGCCAAGAGAGCAATATTTCTTTTTTTCATTCTCTCGTCCATAAGTCATCGTCCATGTTATCATTGATCATCAATGATCAACATGTACAATTAATGTGTGAAAAAAATTAAGCTTTATCCACACATATACATTGAGATATTTGTGATTGAATTTATCTCAATGTATGTGTATGTCTAGGTTGAAGCTTAATTGAAATCGACTTTTAATTATTTTCCGACGAGAAGAAAAATAATGAATATTTTCTCGCCCAACAAAAAAAACAATTTTTGGGGGTATAAAAGTGAATGATTTCCTTCGAAGAAGTCATTCAATTATTTGAATCACCTAATAATTATTTTGTTTTATATTTTAGATTGGCTTCGACGATACAAAATTATTCAAATCAACATCGAACAATAAAATAAAATGTATGTATCAGTTTTTTAATTTTTTTTCTTTTTACTTATTCTTTTGGATGATATGGAGGGTGGCAAGTTCTCCTATGATCTTTTTTATGTATTGTTTTTTTTTATTTTAGCCATACGACAGTGAAAAAAAAGATAGCATGTGGAGTAAGCCATCTCGTTCTTCTTCATTACATAGCATTAATAAAAATTTTTTTCCTTTCTTTTTAGTACTCAATATCATCACGTCATCATCATCAACAACGTCATCATTCAACGTCAAACATGGTGAGTAATTTTTTTTTAAGACGAGAATAGATAGTGAGTCTCAGCACAGTGAGTGTTAGTGGGAGGCGAGGGTGAGTTCTATCCGTTGAGGGTTAAGGTTTCGTCTTCTATGAAGGACTTCCGGGTAGTCCCTAAAAGCTCGGCCAGGGACCGTCTTGGTGTCCGTGGCACACAACCGGGTCACCAGACTCATTGACATATCTCTCGAGTGGGAGGGGTATGAATGATTTGAGTCTGTCCCGTGCGTGCATAAGCGTTACGCTCGTCACGGCTCCACCAAGATGGTTCCTGGTTGCGCGCGCGCGAATAGAATAAGCCATTCGTTTCATCAATCCAACCTGATTTATTTGAAAGGAAAGAAAAAAGTTCATCGTAATGAGTCTATTCAATTGAAAAGCGTTGAACACGATCATTCCCATAATCGACGACATAGAGATTGCCATATCGATCGAAGGACAAACCCATCAGATAGTGAAACTGATTTACTCCTTCTCCTCCACCATTTCCACCCACAATGACAGTGCCCTGTTTCGCTTCTTTAGGCAAACACATCACTCGATGATTTCCCCAGTCTGCCACATAGATGGTACCCAATGTATCGACGAACAGTCCTTGAGGATTCGACAATTGTGTCAGAGCATTCCCTCCGCCTTGACCTCCAGCGACGACAATTCCTTCTTTTGCACCTTTATTCCATTTCATTACACGATGATTATTGTTGTCTGACACGTAGATAGTCTGTTGTTGATCGACAAAGATGTAGGTCGGCCAGTTGAGTTGATTGAGACCAGCACCTTTGCCATTGCCACCAGCCACGATAGTTCCATTCATGTCTCCTATTTGATATCGTTTTACTTCATGTTTGTCGTAGTCAGAGATGTATAGATATCTCTGATCATCCATGGCCAATCCCCAACAATTGATGTTATCGATGAGGATTTCTCCTTGAGTTGTGCCACTACGACGAGACCATCGAACGACTCGTCCATTCCCCCAATCACAAATAATGAGACTATTCGTCTCTTTATCGATCAACATATTGGTTGGTCGATACAATTGATCCAATCGATTTCCTTGACCATGGCCACCAGCTACTACCTGTCCATTCGTATCACCCATCTTCCATTGGATGATACGATCATTGTACCAGTCAGCGATGACCATCGTTTGGTCATCATCAACGAAGAGACCTTCAGGATAGTAGAGTTGATTGATGGCACTGCCTTGTCCATGACCTCCAGCAACAGTCACTCCATTCTGTGCCCATCGGGCATCAACTGGAATATGGAGAATTACTATAATGAACGAAAAAGAAAAGAAATCGTCGTTGTCGAAGGGAGCTCGTCTCTCATGGGAGCAAGCGCTACAAATACGACATTCATCTTTGAGAATGCTCATTCCACAGATAAAAATTCAGAAGTCTTTTCCTAGTTTTCTATGAGAAAAAAGGATTTGATAACGATTCTTACATGTATGTCACTTTTAGTTTTTGCCAAGATCTTTTTGACACTAAAGATAATACCTGGAGATTGCTGTAAGAAGATTTGACAGAGAAAGAGTAATGCTAATTCCATCTAAGCTTTTGATAGAAAAACATAGAGATCTGAGGACTTTATTCGGAATTGCGAGAATGCAGAATCTTTTTGTCGGATGATCATTTACATGAACATCAGACAAGAAGAACTATGTGAAACTCCTAAACTGAAAAAATCCTGAGAAGACTCTATTTGCATCTTGTTAGGAAGATGTCAAATCTGATTTCTGCTGTTGGAGAACTTCGAGGATGCTTTTCACGTTATAGGACAATTCAGACGGATCTATAGAATTTGATCTTCTTATATATAAAGAAGAATGTTTATCTGTCTGTCTGTTTTTTATGCATTTCCACACCGTACGAGCGAATGCAATCAAACTTTCCAGAAATTCTCCTCTCATCCAGGAGAAGGTCAACACCTATTTTTTTTCAAAAAGAATTGGCCCTTCGCCTGCAAAATCATACCTATGTTGCTGACCAATCAGATTGTAATATTCGGTACTATAGAAGTACTATTGAGTAGCACTTTGTAAACACACAGAAAAACATGGAACTACAGGTTTTCAAATCTGATTGGTTGGCCCGAAACCAATAGGAATCGAGTTTTTGGGAAAACAAATATCAATGGTGACCCATGTCATACACAAATCCAGCTTTTGGCGAAGTTGATCTCTGGAGATTGTGTGAGGCGGGAATTTCGAATAAATAGTCTATGACGCTGA